TAGAAACGGCAACTACGGAAGTGAGCGCAACTCGTCCTTTTTAAACTGATTCCGGCGCGGTGAGGGGTTGTAGTGTTTTTGTGTCGCTTTATGCGTGTATGTGGTGCGATGCAATGCTTAAAGGCGGCATATTACATTTATCTCATATAGACGCTACAATCTTCAGAACTTGGGTTAGAAGTATCGCCCCTGACACCCGTTTGTGTCCTCTTTCAGTTTGCGGTATCAGGACCCCGTAACAATAAGCCCTGAACCATGCAGAACGAGTCCGGAGAGTTTGTGGACATGTATGTCCCCAGGAAATGGTAAGTGGATGACGTTGTGCGGGGAAACGACCCATGCCTTGTGTTGTGTTTTTTCCATTTTCGCCTGCCTGTTCGGGTCGAGGGCACATTTGCAGCATGCTTTTCATGGGCACAATCTGTATAAATCAGCTTTGGCAGTGTTGCTGCGGGCCCTGCTTCTTTTTGCAGTATTACCTGATCCTGAAAGGTAGTTGGGCTCTTACCATTTGTCTATATATTTTCCACAGCCATATGTGCGTGACAAGCAAGTTGAACTGAGAGTAAGATTGTGCCAAACTCAGGCCAGGTCAAATGGTGTAAAATTTTCAAGCACTTTAGCTTGAAAGTGCTGCAGGTGTATATGTTTTTGTGAATGGCTGATGCATGCCATAGTTTCTTGAACTGTGGGCTCTGTGACTAAGTTTGTGGGCTCAGTGCTCATATTTGAAGTGTGCATGTAGTGACATTGTTGCTGGGATGTTAATGCTGCATGAATCATTAGTGTAGCTCATCTGAAAAGAATGGAATGTTAGGCAGATATGAGATGGAGGGATGCAGAGACCATTCAAGAAAAAGGGTACTTCATGTCAGCACAAAACATGTTGTAAGCTAGTGTGTGAACCCTGGCAATCACACCAGTGAAGTACTGGGGATAGATAAAATCCTGCTCCAAATAGGGATGTAACTTGCTGAATTGAGGTGGACTTTGACAACATTACTTAGGCATATTATGATGCTCTCAATGCTCATATTGAACAATTTCTGCCACCAAATTTTGATAAGCTGCCTTAAATTGGAGGGTAAACACTGCCTCTGCCCTCTTCCAAAATCTTGTCAAAATATGTAATGGTTTGCTCGTGGACCTAGGAATCTGGATACCCTGGGCTTTTATCAAGCCTTTGAAGTGGAATGAGTTGCTTGGCATGTCCCTGCTCCCTAATCCATCCAAGCCCACCTGTGACCTTTGCCTTATTATCTGTATTGTTATTAGTGTCCTCCAATCTGATCTCACATTCTTGTTCAGTTAAGTATAAAAAGGAAGGTACCTACAATGCATAGTGAAAATTATCAAGGCACATATCCATGATTGGTGTGATGTGATTTACCTAGTTGGTCCAGTTGATGTTGTAAATCCCCTAGGTTTTGTGATTTACATTTTCAAGCTGTATACTGGTTGAAATGTAGAATGACATGGAATATTCAGTATGCAGTACATGCTAACATTGCTGAAGGTTTTGACTTGAATCATTTGTGCATTGTGATGCTTGTCAAAATTCTCATCAAAAGGGTTGACATGACACACAAACAGCACAATGACTGGGTTATAACTACCACTTGGTCTGCATCTTGGCCTGGTGGCTTTAAGGCCCAGATACATGAAATGTCTGGGTTATAACTACCTCTTGGTCAGTTTTGACCTGGGGGCTTTAAGGCCCAGGTACAGGACTATCCTTCAGTCATGATGTGAGTGCCAACCTGTTAAATAGAAACAGGATATTATAAACATAGTGAAGCAAACCCTTTAATGAAATGCCAGTGAGTGATGGCCATATTAGCATTCCTGGGTCATGGAGCAATCAGGATTCAAACCAGCCCACATACCTCATGTGAGAGCTGAGGGCATAGCTGTTATGCCCCCTAAGCGGAACCCCTCTGAAAGATTGGTTGAGACACCAGGCTGCAAAGAGCTGTAGGTAATGCACCCTTATGCCTGAACTGGGCAGAATGTGGACTTGGGTCAGGTGTATCCCAGGGTTAGTCTGCTATGCCTGCCCAACTTTCAGAATATCTTATCCAAATAAAGGGTAGCAGACAAGATGATGTGAAAGGTATGCACATCCAGGGTTGCCATGGTGTTTGACTCATTGTTATGCCATATTGCCTTGTCTGATGCATGTTGCTCATGCTGTCACTTTGACCAAATTGTGACCACTGCATGTCAGGATGCCCATTTCTTCTGGATGACAATTTCCAACTCTTCTGAAGCAACTAGAAATGACACCCTTCATAATCATGTGTTATGAAAAGACACCCTCCATAATCACGTGTTGTGCAATGATGCCCGTCATAATCACGTTTGGTCGCCCCAGCTCGGCCAGCAACCGTCTGATTGCGGCCAAGGACCACGCCTCCATTCAGCTGAACATTGCTGACGTGGACCCGACGACTGGCCGCTACACTGGCGACAGCAAGACCTACGCCATCTGCGGGTACATCCGACGCATGGGAGAGTCCGACGACTGCCTCACGCGGTTGGCGAAGAAGGACGGCATTGTCGCAAAGTGAGTGGCAGGGATGTTGTGCGGACACCATGCAAGAACTTGTCTGATGTTCTCACATCTAATAGGTGTGTTGCATGTCCGTTGTGTTTGTTATGGTTGGTGATGTGTAGAATTATTCTCGTAATATCAGCATTGCTAATTCTTGGGGCAGGCAGCACTCGGTGGAGTTTTTTTAGTTTTTTGTGATCACATGCTGAAAGTCTGGTTTGGGTGAGGCTGCCTCAGATCGGCCCAAACTACAAATCAGTGTGAGATGTTGTCAAGTCAAACTACCAGGCATTTGGCAGTGCATGATCACTTGCAGTCAACATGCCCTGAGACTCAAATTTGTAATTGCCAGTAACCAGTCAGTTAAACTATTTATTGTAGCTTATGTATTATGGATGTCCTTTGTATTCCTCTTTACCATGGCACAATAATATAAACTGGTTGCAAAAACAGCATATTGTGCTAAGTCTAATTGCTGTGCAATAATTTGTTGTCATTGTCTTGCTTGAAGTTTATGTGTGTACTTAAAGATGTGCAACATTCTGGGTTATAACTACCACTTGGTCTGTTGCTTGACCTGGTGGCTTTAAGGCCCAGATACAGAAAAAAGTGTCTGGGTTATAACTACCCCCTGGTCAGTTGGGACTTGGGGGCTTTAAGGCCCAGTTACAATTTTTTTGCTCCTGGTGTGATGCTACAATGGAAGTGGTTGCTTTTGGAATGTACCATGTAGGGACCATATTCAATGGCATACCATCAGTTTCAGGTGTTTTATGTTAAGACACTCATACAGCTGGCTTTAGTGTCACTTTGACTGCAGTGGCCATTTTGCACCCATTTGTCAGTATTAAACAGAGATGGGTGTCATTGGTGGTGCACAAGGTTAGAACTGATTGTGCAGCAGCAAGGATCTTCATAGCTTATACTGACACCTTTCTTCTCTTTGCAGGAACTACTGAGGTGAGCTCCAGCATACCTTCTTGATTGCTTTCTGATGGTGGTGTCAACAACACAATGGGCATGAAGTAATGAGCCTTGTTTAGGTGTGGATTGTGTCCGGTTTTCGTAATGTAATTGGACCAGTATGGTCATGATATGCTCGTCTCGCTCGCATCGGCAGCTGATATTCAGATTCGTTGATCTCAATTTGGTGACATTAGTTCAGCTGCCATTTGGATTTGATAGCTTTGGCATTATTTGAGGACTGATTTGTGGTCACCACGATCTTTTCGCAATCGGTCCAAGTTGTTTATTAACTACTTGGGGTTGCCATAGATGCTGATGGGTGTGTATGGTGTATTTGCGGTTTAGTACAGTTGTGGGCCGCGAATGGTTCGCGGTAGTTTCGTACCTCTGGAAAGCATTTTACGTGCTCCAAACGCCGCCGCTCTGTTGCGAACCGCTGTTTCGTTGGTAGGTTTATATACGAAGACTTGTTGAAGTTGATGGCGTCAGTAGGACTTGTTGCTAATACTGTCCTTGTTTGTGCAAAATAGTCATTGCTCTCAGGTTCTAACATGATGATTGTTTTCTCTTTCAGATGTCATCGCCTGTCATGCCGAAATAAACAAAAAAAAAACCTGCAGGTGTCCACTATTCATCGTCTGTTGTAAGGCACACCGGAGCGCCCCATGAACGGACGTCAACGGTGGAACGATTCTCCAATAGGCTTGGCAACGTTTTTCAGACGCTGTGTAGGAGCTATTTGGCTTGGAACCCTGAGTCGTCTTGTTGAGTACTTGGGCCTGTGGTTTCAGAAATTTTCACGCAGCTTCACTGCATAGAGCAGGTTACTGCAAGGGTGCATTCAGCGACACCGCAAAATAATTTCTGTAAAAGATGTGTTTTGTAACATCTAACGCATGAGCATTATGGAAGGAGGAAATCTGAATCTTACGGGTTTTCAGTGATACGCCGCACGCGTCCAAGTATGCGGGTTGTAGCAGCTAGGACACGAGCAATATACGAAGGAATATAGCAAAAGCAATATAGCTAAATATAGCAATAGCGCGAGTCCACGGTGCTGGTCCTAACCGCAGCGTGAAACGTTAAGTAAGCGCTGCGACTGGCGGGAGGATAGCGGATGCGCCCGTGACTCCTCACCCCTCCGTGGCCAGGGCATGCTTGCCCTCCAGAGGGCGACGCAGTATGGTGGCTCTAAAATAACTCTGTGGTTTTTAAGATCATTAGCTGGTAGCCATCGGGACAAGCAAGGTCAAGCGCCTGTTGCCTCAAATGACAGAGCAGGATTAACGTCTAAGTTTAAAACGGGCTCTCTGCTACCTCAGGCCGTGTTAAGTGGAGTCTCGTGCACGCCACCGTTTTCAGCAACGTGTTTGGTATCTCAGCTTGGTCAGGAGCAGCCCACTCCCCAAGCAAGTTGCCAAATCCCGGGAGTGGGGGGTGGTGGTCCAGGGTTAAGGCGCTTAGCGTAAGTACATGGAAGTCTATTTGGGTTACATTTATTTGAAACCTTACAAAACCACTCACAAAGATCACAAGTCATTCACAGTCGCCTCCGCCTCCGTTCGCTGGCTGTGTTCGTCATGCAGTGTCCTCAGATAACACAAGAGCTCCGTAACGTTGGTTCCCATCTTGGCCGAGATGGGCAGAACGCGCATGTCAACCGCCTCCCGCAGCTCCTCCAGATTATCCTGAAATTTTGGGCCACGATGAAACAAAGGACGCACGGCACGAGCGGCCATGTCATCAGTGATGCGATCTGCCGTCTTATCGTCCGAAGGTGTGCCAGAAGCGCAAAATAGTTTTCGCTTTCCCTGTCCCCAAGTACACAGCCGTCATATCATCCGCTAGTGTCGAGTGGCACCAGCTCATCCAGCAAGACGGCTCCAGCGAGCGATGCGTTCACACAAGCAAGCAATCACCTAAGATTGCGCGAGCCGCATAACCTAACCGGGCCACGAACGTGACCGAGGCTTAACCTTGGACTGACCTCGGCGCCTGGCAGATCGCACTTGTTGGCCACCAGCGCGTGCGGCCGGCGGGCCAGGCCTGGCTGGAACATGTCCAGCTCGTGCTGCAGCACGCGCAGCTGCTCGGCCGGCCGGCACGACACGTCCAGCACGTACAGCAGGCACGTGCAGCGCTGCACGTGGCGCAGGAACGCGACACCCAGGCCGCGGTTCTTGTGCGCGTCCCTGATCAGTCCGGGGATGTCGGCCACTGCAGTGGAGAGGGGCCGGGTCAAGCGCAGAGGACGCTTGGGAGCTCAACAGGCTGACGAGACTTCAAATAGACTTCACCCGGTGGGTGGGCTACTACCAAGGACAGAGCTCTTCCTGGGGATGATTCCCCAACCCTGCACACGCAGATACGGGCTAACCACATACAAAGGCAACAGCGCAGCGAGAAACAAAAAAAAAACAAGCGCATTGCACAAGTGCACGCGAAATAAAGCGGCATGGAACTTATACATAATAAACCTGAACAAGGCAGTCCGAGGGAACTTGGTGGCTTTACTTTGACACCACTTCGCACGGACGCGTAAGACTAGCCATGCCTGTGGGGCGGAGCTGACCTGCCAGCTGGACGTAGTCGCTGTACTCGACCATGCCGACGTACGGCTGCAGGGTGGTGAACGGGTACGCCGCCACCTTGGGACGCGCCCGCGAGATGGCGCGCAGCAACGTCGACTTGCCCGCGTTCGGGAACCCGATCTGCGCACCGGGAGGGGCGACCGCTGGGTAAGCTGTGATCGCGGAGAGAGGGCTGGAGGAGCTATGACTGGGTCAGCTACGGTCGCAGAGTGCTCGCTGGGTCAGACGTGGCCAAGGGGGAGAGGAGGGGGTGACAGCTGGGTCAGACGTGGCCGAGGGGAGAGAGGAGGGGTGACCGCTAGGTCACGTGGCCAAGGGGGGAGAGGAGGGGGTGACCGCTGGGTCAGATGCGGCCACGGAGGGAGAGCAGGGAGTGAACGCTGGGTCAGATGAGGCCACGGAGAGAGAGCGGGGGTGACTGCTGGGCCAGATGAGGCCACGGAGGGAGAGCAGGGAGTGAACGCTGGGTCAGATGAGGCCACGGAGGGAGAGCAGGGGGGTGACCGCTGGGTCAGATGCGGCCACGGAGAGAGAGCAGGGGGTGACCGCCGGGCAGGATGTGGCCACGGAGGGAGAGCAGGGAGTGAGCGCTGGGTCAAATGAGGCCACGGAGAGAGAGCAGGGGTGCCCGCTGGATCAGATGTGGCCAAGGAGAGAGAGCAGGGGTGACTGCTGGGCCAAATGAGGCCACGGAGGGAGAGCAGGGAGTGACCACTGGGTCAGATGAAGCCACGGAGGGAGGGTCGGGAGAGCAGCGGTTGGGCCAGCTTCCACGAGAAGAACCACGGCTGGGTTGCGGCCGCGGGACGTCAGCGGAGTTCAGGTGAAGAGCGGCAGAAACGCCTAATGCCGCTCTCGCTACCTCTGATGGACGAATCCAAAATCTGACGCGATGTGACAGTGAGATTAGCCGTTCGATGTCTATGGCGATATAAAAACACTTAAGTTTACACGTTACAACAATGCATCTTCTGAGTTGCATAGCCTCGATGAAAGCGATCAAATGCACGCGTTACCAGCAAATGAACCACGCCAGCAGGCACAGCCCTGCGATACGTGTCACATGACACAGGTGTCACGCACCAGCCCAATGTCGGCCATGGTGCGCAGCTCAGCCGCGTAGGCGAAGCTCTCGCCGGGCGCCCCCAGCTCGGCAAACCGTGGCGTCTGGTTCCTGCGGCAGCGCGGCACAGCGTCAGCGCTACAGCCTGGAGTCGGCACCACGGCGGGGAGTCAGCACGACAGCCCACAGTCGGCGTCATGGCCCACAGTCAGCACCATAGCCCACAGTCAGCACCACGGCCCCACAGTCAGCGCCATGGCCCACAGTCAGCACCACAGCCCACAGCCAGTGTCATGGCCCAGCCAGCACCACGACCTACAGCGCACACCATAACCCATAGTTGGCACCACAGCAAACAGTCAACACCACAGCCCACAGTCAGTGTCATGGCCCAGTCAGCACCACGACCTACAGCTCGCGTCATAACGCAGTCAGCACCGCGGCTCACAGTTAATACCATGGCCCAGTCAGCACCATGACCTACAGCCCCCACCATAACCCACAGTCAGCACCACGGCCCACAGCGTCACTCACGTGTCTGTGGCGAAGTACTTGTTGCCCCTGCCGCCGGCGCCGCCGCGGGCCGCGACAAACATGGCGCCCTCCACCTCCAGACTGGCGCGTAGCTGGCCGTCATCTGACTGGAACATGGTGCCCACCGGCACCTGTCGGGACCCGACAGCGGAGCTGAGTCAGGACGGGCCAGGTGCTGAGGAGGGCACCGCTTCATCTGACTGGAACATAGTGCCCGCCGGCACCTGTCGGGACCCGACAGCGGAGCTGAGTCAGGACGGACCAGGGGCTGAGGAGGGCACCGCTTCATCTGACTGGAACATAGTGCCCACCGGCACCTGTCGGGACCCGACAGCGGAGCTGAGTCAGGACGGGCCAGGTGCTGAGGAGGGCACCGCTTCATCTGACTGGAACATAGTGCCCGCCGGCACCTGTCGGGACCCGACAGCGGAGCTGAGTCAGGACGGACCAGGGGCTGAGGAGGGCACCGCTTCATCTGACTGGAACATAGTGCCCACCGGCGCCTGTCGGGACCCGACAGCGGAGCTGAGTCAGGACGGACCAGGGGCTGAGGAGGGCACCGCTTCATCTGACTGGAACGTAGTGCCCACCGGAACCTGTCGGGACCCGACAGCGTAGCCGAGTCAGGACGGACCAGGGGCTGAGGAGGGCACCGCTTCATCTGACTGGAACATAGTGCCCACCGGTACCTGTCGGGACCCGACAGCGTAGCCGAGTCAGGACGGGCCAGGGGCTGAGGAGGGCACCGCTTCATCTGACTGGAACGTAGTGCCCACCGGCACCTGTCGGGACCCGACAGCGTAGCCGAGTCAGGACGGGCCAGGGGCTGAGGAGGGCACCGCTTCATCTGACTGGAACATAGTGCCCACCGGTACCTGTCGGGACCCGACAGCGGAGCTGAGTCAGGACGGACCAGGGGCTGAGGAGGGCACCGCTTCATCTGACTGGAACATAGTGCCCACCGGTACCTGTCGGGACCCGACAGCAGAGCTGAGTCAGGACGGGCCAGGGGCTGAGGAGGGCACCGCTTCATCTGACTGGAACGTAGTGCCCACCGGAACCTGTCGGGACCCGACAGCGGAGCTGAGTCAGGACGGACCAGGGGCTGAGGAGGGCACCGCTTCATCTGACTGGAACATAGTGCCCACCGGCACCTGTCGGGACCCGACAGCGGAGCTGAGTCAGGACGGACCAGGGGCTGAGGAGGGCACCGCTTCACCGGCCGAGCCACGCAGCGCAGTCCGATCAGAGGAAGCGCACTGTCAGTACCGTTCCAGCTGGCTAGGGCTTCCTGCATCGAAGTGGGCATGGAGTTATCGCAGCAAGGACTCCATGTGATAATAAAGATGAGTGATGAAACCACCGCAGTCCATGTCCATGCCTGGCTGCCGGGTTGCGCCGGCGGGGTGTGGCCGTCGGGCTGACCTGGACGATGAGATGCGGCGCCGTTTTGCCGTGGCAGTCGTTCTGGAAGCCCTTCTCGCCAGGCTCTGCCGTCAGCACCGAGCTGAGATGGCCCAGACCCTTCACGTTGGTACTCGCCTGGGAAAACACATCAACAGCTGCACTTGGGAGGCTGGACGGAAGCCCTCCCATCCCGTGTAAGATGGGGAGCAGCACGAACACGTGACAGGCCCGAAAAGCAGATTTAACAGGAAAGCCACACGCATGGTTTGCAAATTCATAGGGCTTGACTAGAGGAGTCCTTGGAAAGCCAAACAGCATAACCAGGGATACACCAGCCGGATCCAACAGATGCTTAAAAGACACTGGGAGCGCCTGACCGTCCCGGCCGAGCAGACGGGAAGACTGAACGCTGGGCCTGGACGGCGCCGCCCGCCGGTCGCGCCTGACCTGGAAGATGACGTGTCCACCGGCGCCGCCGTCACCGCCGTCCGGGCCAGCGCGCGGGTTGCGGTAGACGCGCGCCAGCGACACGCAGCCATTGCCGCCGTGGCCGCCGGTCACCCTCAGTCTGCGCCAGTCGACGAACGGCCGGGGCTGCGGCGCGGCGCGGCGCGTTAGAGGCGCGTTAGAGGCCCGGCGGACGGAGGCCCGGAGTACGCCCCATGCTTTGGCACCCTTATGGCAAGATGCAGCAACACTTAGTCCCTCCTTCCAGACAGCTCAGCTGGTCAGGGCACCTGCCTACCGATCCACCAAGCCGTGACAGGGTGACTTTGAGTCCTTTTATGTGCTCGCTATTTGCCCTTGACTGGGATGGTCTACGGACGGTGGCAGCGGCTTCACTAAAGGTCAGGTGACGTTAGAGGGCAGGACGGACCGTGCCGAGCTTTGTGGCACGCTAAATTCCGCTAACATATTTTGCCGTTGACCTGGAATTTCATGATCGCTTGGGAGGGGTCCGAACTCCCGCAGTTGCTGTTAAGTGTAAGGTCTGACTCCAGAGATCTACCCATCTAAAAAGGTAGAATTCAATCTCATTCTTTAATTTCAACAGGAGGAGACCCCAGGCTTGCAGCTCATCTGCACAAGCAAACGATGACACCAGTATACGGGCTCGCGTGCCGACACCAGTCCACCACGACAGGTCGGTAACCACACCGATGCACCGGGCAACCCAACAGCAATTCAGCGGGTCCAGCCGGTTTCGGCATCGCGACCCAGACACGTGCCCACACACAGTCCACCAGGGTGCGACTGAAACGACCTCAACACAAAGCGTCACCTGTCCAGAGATCATTCTGTCAACATACCGGCGAAAACTGCCGTACACAACATCATGCCTTAACTCACTATCACTAATCTCAAATCCCCTCTGCCCTAGGATCAAACGATAACCAACACCCAGCACGGCCAGATGAGTGTTAACAGCACGCGGCACCACCCACAGGACAGCATGCGGTCCACTCCTCGATCGAAGGCCGCGGTAGCAGGACCCGAGCCGTCCACTCACAGCAGTGCGCCGGCTAGCCGCGGCCTTCCTGCCGGCCAGCGGCACAGGCGGCGGCGGCCCGGTCAGCGCGCGGGCGGCCTGACGCAGCGGGCCGGCTCGCAACCAGCGCCGCACGCACCAGTTGACAGCGCCGCCCAGCATTGCCCTGGGCGTCCGCTGGAGACGGTCGTCGGGTCACGGGTTAGAGCAGTGCATCTGTGTCTGCGGGTCATCTGGCTGCAGCAGCCTCCAAGGATGTATTGGATGCACATGTCTCAGAAAGGTCTGATGCTACTTTTTGTTGCCTACACAGTACAATGACAAAACAATGATGTGCACAGCAGGTTTAAAATGCATGCAGCACTTCTAAATTTTGCTTGAAAGACTGCATCATCACATTAACGTAAATAAGGAGTAGAATTAACATATATTGGTGTAAGTGGAAGCCTTAAAGTGAATTTTCAACATTTGAAGATATTAAAGCATCAGTGATATTGTGCTTATATAAATAACAAATATGATGATGCTTAATTAATATCATGAAAAAGCTCACTTAGTTGTGAATGCTTGGGTGACTTTGAAAAAGTCTTCCTGAAATATTCTGCACATTTTGTGGGCATGTAGCTCAGAAATTAGCATGATTCAGGCCTTAAAAGGGGATAGGATGTAGATTGCACAAAATGATCTTCAAGAAAGCTATTTCAAAGCATGGTTTATAGTATGTTAATGTTGTGTAGCACACTAATCTTGTCACTCCAGAGAACCGATGCTTTGAACAAGAAACTAAGTGTTTAACATTTCAGCACCAGCATTTTTCCACCAAATTAGTGAGTTCAAGGCAACTTTGTGATTTTAAGTGGCATACCAGTGAAGCTGCTCAGCTGATTAGCATGATGGTTTGGGATGCATCATGTGCTGCTGGATATGGAAAACCTAAACAATATCCATGTTTTCAGTGGCACAATGGCAGGTTTGCCATCCACACAGCACACTAATCATTCAACTGAATTACATGAACTATACATGGACATGTATGTATAAATACATGAGCTATGCGAGTACCACTGCAAGAATAAACAAATGCAGCTAGCTACAAAAATCTTGTGATACAAATCACACAATTTGAAATGAACTACATCACGTTGTGCGCAACGCAAAATACACTAGCCAAAATATCATGGGGCTGAACTGAAAAAGCCCTACCGGTTGCCGTCACCAGTCAGCTGACACTGAGCACTCAAAACAGGAGAACGCCCAAAAGAATACTGTACCTCCGGCAATGTGCGATGATGGTATATCTGTTTATTTAAGTGATGACAACTTGTATTCATTTCATGCCGCCACCGGACGGACTGACTGTAAAGCGCTATATATGAAGAATATGGTAGCAGAATCGTTGCATGCCATATCTACCATAAACGTACGCAAGCTGGGTAAAGCAAGCAAAATAGCAGAAAATTAAAGGGATATTCCACGACCAACCGACCGAAGATGGGTGCAATTCGACAAAAAAACACCTTAAAATTTGACGTTGACTGAACTGTAGATTGATTGCACGCCAAGGCGATGTCCGTAATGTTGTCTGCAGCTTCAAGTATTCAACGATTTGTTCAGCGACGAGACCCGGTTTCTCTGAAGAGCAGGACGGGCGATCAATTCTGGCATGAGAACATCGAAAATGACATTTAGTTTGCAGTACCATGCGATTTTGAAGGTGAGATGCAGGGAAAAAGCGCGGATAGCACCCTTCGAACAAAATTTTTCAGGCCCACTAAAGATTTTCAAGCATCAGATCATTTTTCAAACAAGGAACAAGTGTCCACCAAAGAAGAAAATCTTGACCTCTCAAGAACACCATCTGAGAGCCCGTTTTTCCGGGGGAAAATTATTCAACGAATAACTATCTCTCCGATAGTCATCCATGGAAGTTCTCCATTTGCGTTCGGTGGGTCCATTTTTTATACTGGCCTTTACTTACGGTATCCGCCAAGAGAGGAAAGCGGGCTCCCTAATTAATCCCATACAAAACCGGCCCCTCCTGACAAAGTCCGGTGACCTCTTTAGAGAGGTGAAGCACGGTAAAACCATACATATGCAATTTTGCTGTGATAGGCTGGGCAATACGGAAACATGGTGAACAAGGCCCGTCATTCAAGATCACAATTTATCGCATATATGTGGAGGAAAACCCGTTAGTAAAAGCTTGGTTACGTTTGATTTTGGCCCCTTACCTTGTTCCAGCATTGTGCGTACGTACCACGAGGCTAGGAAGAGTTCAGTGGCGAATCAGTGCCCGTCAGATTTTCGTACCCAACGGTGATTTAATCACGAAATCCAGGACAAGACCGGTTCAGGGAAAATTATTGTCGCCCAGCAGCGCTTGGAGGGCGTGGAGGAGGCGTTGTATGAACAAGTAATTTGCTACATGGTGTCGTTCGCGATAAAGAGCAGGACATCCAGCCAATACGTGTTCTACTGTAAGCCAGACATTACAAGCCTCGCAGACCGGTGATACAGAGCGGATGAGTAGGTGACCGTGGGCGAGACGAGTGTGCCCACATGCCAAACGCACCAAGGTCAGTTCTCTATGCCTGTTCTCCTGATGGTACGTCGCCCATGGTTGGAATGTTGGTTTAATTCTGTACATGTGGCTTGCATGCGAAACATCCCATTAATTCTGCCATGGGAAACGGAACTCAAGTTACAAGAAGAACGTCACCTAATGCCAGAGATACTTCCAGAGGCGTTGGTACACGGACACCTTCGCTCGCAGGGGTGCCGGCAAGGACATTTCCCGAGATGCCTCTATGTCCCGGTACCCACAGAAGGGTCACATGTTGGTTAGCAGGTAGCGAAATCATTATATCATGGATGTTACGCACTCGCGGAGGGTTGAGATCATCGAGTCGCTAACGGGCCTGCAGCGATGCCTTAGAGTCTGGATATCGTAGTCTGAGGAATACTTTTTACTCTGATATGTAGCAGCACTCGTTTTACAGCGTGTGCTTCCGCAGACAACATCGTACTGAAGTCTGGAAGACGTCCGGTGAATTTCTGCATTCCAGGTAGGCAAATTATATCTCAACGGTGGACGATTCCGGCTTTTTTAAAATCTAAATACATACTTTATGGACAGATCATTGTCAAGTCGGAAAGGCGCCAATGGGAGGTTACAAGCAATACATATGCATGGAGTGCCAAGAGCTCGTCGACTGTTTAACAGCGTCGGACATGAAACAAGATCTTCACGGCCGTCTTGGAGAGTGCCGTCCATTTGTTGTAAGAGCAGCGCATGCCGCGGGGTTTAGCACACTGATATTTGTAGTAGCATCGAAGTAGCAAGAAATAGCGCTGGTCTGGTACCGCTGGCAGGTTGGTGTCAGCACCGATGGCGAGGACTGGGGTCGAGCGGAAGGTCCCTGCAATCAGGCCCAGGCAGGTTGATTGAATGGCTTTCCGGGGTTTGCAAAGATTGATCGAAATAATGCACCCCCAGATTCGTCTATCATGGGCCATGCACAGCCAACGGTGCGTAGCGAAAAGAGATTTTCCGCCTTGACCACGTTCTGAACATTTTCCTTGGTTGTCCCTCGGTACGGAAAATGATGTGTGATAATTTTTCGTATTGGCAGTGCCGGACGCCCTTTTGGAAACTTTTCCAACATTCCAGGCAATTTTTTGAAATTATCTACCGGCTGAACGCACCCTTAGTTGAGACTGAAATGACGGCAAACTCAATATCGTCAAAAAAATTCCGGCCGATTCCGGATTGTTTTGAATATAGAAATAATATATATATATATATATATATATATATATATATATATATATATCACCGCACCATTGTACCGCTGCAAACTAATCCTGAAGATGATGCGCAGCGCATCGAAACCATGGGTGTAGGAACAGGCGAGGGGGGGCAGGGGGCCATAGCCCCCCCCCCCCACACTTTCCAAGGTGGGAGGCAGCAGTGTTAAGGCCCCCACCCCACTTTTCAGATCAAGGTTGCGTTAGCTTACTTTTGCACCACATTAAACATACAACGCACATGTTTGCTTAGTTCACCAGCCATCTTCCTCAAACTGTACCGTCTTTTTCGTTTGCTTATTGGCCATCCCTTAGTACCACAACTGCAAGCCGACGCCGCGCGGCCCTGTGGAGAGTGCAACGCTGGTGGTCGAGGCTGTTGTTGCTATGGCTTGCGAGCACGCGTGTTCCGAGCGCGCCAGCGCGCAACCATATTACGTAGTTTTTATCATTAATCAGTTCTTACGGAATCTTAAACATTTAAAACGAACACGGATTAGCCATGTTAAAACAAATTTGGAACCCCATTTCGTCTGCAATCTGTATTCAGGGAGTCCTCAATGTCCATGAAGAACACAGAAAAACATGGAACTGTAGTTTACGTGACAATTATTGGGCCACCTGCGGCGGTCAGGCATGTTGTTGAGTCAATGAGGACTCCTACGCTGATCCGTGGCCAAGTGTGCGGGACAGAAGACCTCCCGTGTCAGGGAGGGAAGCAATATCATGTGATATATTATTCTAACGGCCTCCGGATCGACCAGGAGATCCCGCCCCGTGTCGCCAGAATGACACTCAGGAGACATTTTGCGATGGGACGGAGTGGCCCTTCAGCCCTTGACCGAAACCGGTGATGTGCCCCTGGTGTTCTACTCAAGGGGCCCCTTGCAAGGAAGGAGATAGGGGGTCTCATTATTGTTGAGTAGAGTGGGGTTCTAATTATTGTTGAAAAGAGTGTTGAAGTGACTTTTAAAAAATCGACAAGATCATTCAATGTTTGCCTAAGAACGTTCATTTTTTTCGGAATGGATTATAAAAAATTGCATCAAAAGGTTTGAACATGCCCGCCCGCAAACCGAGCACAAGAACAGCGATGGCCTGGGTCGCAGCTTCCGTAAAACTGAACGGCGTCGGTCACTGCGAGTGCCGCCAGACGGCGGGCGCCGTGTTAACCTGTGTTCTGGACAGATGGTTAGTTACAGAAACACGGAAAATAAAGATTCTACCCATACTCTTCCAGTGCCACCACCAGATACCAGCACCACTTCGCGGTGCTAATCCGTTCTTATCATAGGTCTAAAAATTGCGCACGTGAAATATGCGTCCTGACTGCCTTTTAAAGGTCAGATTTGATGTCCTGAAACGTTCAATGACACCGCTTTCAAAAGCGTTATCATTTTCATCCACCCACCGGCCACGGCTCAGTATCATCTACTGGGTCGACGCTGCGCGGCTTATGGAGACTGCATCGCCTGGTGTCGACGTTTTTGTTGCTGATTTGTAAGCGCGCACGTTAAAAAGTCACTTTGCAAAATTGCATCACTTATAGATTCTCACTGAATGTTAGACATTTCCAGGCAAATATAGCTTGGCCATGTTAATGCACATTGTCGACTACTCGATCTATAACCAAATTTTCATCCTCGAATTTAGATCAGACATATCGATCTACACCCGACCTTTGCGATATCCTTAATGTCTGTAGAACCGAGACAAAACATCCTGACAAAGCTTCTGAATTCTATCAGTTTATGAAGAGCCCATAAGCCACTGTAAATAAGGGGCACCAGCGATTTATTTCATGTGGTCGTTCAACGCCCAATTTTACAGTTTAATGCCTTCAAAATGCAGACAGAATTGATATCGCGGTAGCTTTTGGTTTCCGTCTTAGTTGCAAGATGCAAATAACAATGAGACACGGAAAACCGTATCCCATGTTAACAAGTAAGCTATATACAGGAATTTGGGGGTCACCAAAAGAGGGGCTTTTTCGACCCTGTGCTCCCCCTGAGCAAAGCTCTTTCTACGCCCCTGCCTACACACAAAAGCAGATCAAGTCGTTTTCGTTGAATGATGCGCAACTAAATGTCCGTTGGGCCAATTCATACCTAAGGCAGGCAGCTTCCCAGAGGCTTTTTCTGGGGTGGTATGCTGTAAGAGAAGATAGTCCAGAAAATGTGCCGTTTCAGGTGCACAACATGTTTTACACACCATTTAGTAGCAAATCTGATCCAGAAATATGAAATAAAGCAGCCATACGATAATTTCGCAATCAGTCATGCGTGAGACAGCCGGGCCTGGGCAGTGGCCGCCGACCGCGGACTGGAACAGGGCTCAGGGCTCAGGTCAGGAATATATGACGGAACTGTCTTCATTCTGTGGCTTGGTTGCTAGAGGAAAATATCCAGTTTTATGGCTTTAATCACATTGTTTTTGGCAGTTTCAAGCTTCCAAATTTGTTTCCGCCTAAAATGCTGCGACGAGCGTTATCTTTTGAAAAGCAGCCAGTGAGCTGAAGGCGCATGGAAAATCCGTCGCACTGTGGGTCATCAATTCACATTCAAAATTCGCACCAGCCTATGTCCAGGCCGTATTTTGGCATCTACCCTGTGAAGGCAGACGCCTCGCCAATAACCCAGAATGCCTATCCGCTCCCGGGATTTCACTTCCCCAGGAAAGACAATGTTGAAGTGGACGAATAACCTTTGGGAAGCTGGATAGTCTTATTTGCCAAATGACATAAATGGGCCGAATAGGCAAGATTGCGCACCAGTGAGAAACAGCTCTTAATGCACATCTAGCAGAGCAGCCATGTCTTTTGAATAAAGAGCGATAACAACCTTCATT